GCTACGACGCAGCGCCTTTTGGTTCACGCTTAGAGTTGTACTGTTTAACTTATTCTCCTCTACAGGGAAGGGCAGTACATGTTTCGGCGGTTGGAGAGAGCGCCCTGGCGCAGGGCGAGAGATGCCAAAGATGGGGAAGACGAACGTGCTGGTGCGGACCCGCCTGGGGACCCACCAGACAAGCCCAAGGAGGAGGAGCCCACGACTAAGCCTGTGATCGGCAAGAGCAATATCCTGGAGGCGGCACTGGCAGGGGAGGTGCAAGCAAACCCTAAGCGGACGCCCAGAAAGAAAAATCGAAAGGTCAGGAAGGATCAGGACCAACGTACAAGAATGCCCCGCACTGCGTCCAGAGGCAGGCCCTTCAGAGGTCGGAGGAACCTTGTTCCGGTGTTGCCTCGGGGGACCATTGGGATGAAGCTGGCCAGCGATATGTTGGAGGTGCTGGAGTGGGACTGTGAGTCCTGCTCGGGCCGGTGCGCAGGATCCCACGTGACAGCTGCCGAAAGAGCAGTGGCCTATTCTCCCGCAGCGTGCGTGCAAAGCTGCGGGAGAAAAGGGGGCGAACCCAAGCACCTCGACGAGGAGGAGACAGAAGACGAAGAAGAGGAGGTGGAGGTCGAAGACGACGACCCAGGGCATAGGCTTTACGCAGCTCCAGGGACTAGGGAATGCTTGCCTGACCTTCCAGTGTAGCCCATTCGGCTAAGAAGCTTATTCGCAGTTGGTCCGTCCAACGGTTTCGTCATCAGGTCGGCTAGCATATCCTGGGTGTCCACCTTCTTCAAATGCACCCAGCCTTCCCTTTTCTACCACGTCGTGCGCCCAAACGTAGCAGGTGTCGATATGTTTCACCTTTCCCGGTCCCCGACGCGAGGCGACTGAAATGCCTGCTGTGGCGTCCATAGCCACGGTGACAGAGAGCTGTACGCCCCAATCTGCTAGCATCGCCTGCTCGCCCAGAGCGGTGGAGACTGTAGACATGAGAGCATAGTACTCTGCTTCCCCTGTCGAAAGCTAGTGCTATCACAGCTTGTCCCTTGGCTGCGGCTTTAAAAGTGGCTTTCCCAAGTTGGATGACAGTTCCAGAAGTGCTCTTCCGTGTTCTTATGCATCCTGCGTGGTCACTGTCTGACCAGGCACCAATGGAGACAAACTGCTCCTAATTGGGAATCAGCTGCACTAGCCGTGGCAGCCCTTTCAGGCATCTTGCGGCTCTCTTCAGTAGCCCCCAGTGGTGCTCCAGTGGCTCCTTCAGCCCTTTAGCTAATTCACGGACCGTCCTCAGCAGATCGGGCCTGTCCATAGATAGGTAGCCAATATGCATGGCTATCGAGCGGTACTGGTGAGCTTCGGTTTCGCTGAGAGGTGTCAAGTCCATATCCTCAGGCTTCGTCCGCACCATCGGGTCGGAGTGGTCACTACTGCACCCTTGTCCAAACCCAGCTGTTCGAGAACCAGGTCAACATGCCTTGGATTAGCCTCCAACTCGATACCATCTCTGGTCCACGTGACCAGCCGATTAAGGACCGAGATTGACTGGATCACTCCTGGCAGTTCCGAGCCGGGCCTGGCCAGGATACCTGTGGTCTCGACTGTCCAGACTTGGTTCAGTTCTAACCACTTTAGCTCCTCGTAGCTCCCCACCACAGTGAAGTCGTCCCCGTGGAAGTAGAGGCAAGGGTTGCTTCTCCCTTGGCGGAAGCCCAGGCCTTCGAGAGCGTCTTTGATGGCTTTCTCCCATTTCGAGGGTGCGTCCCTCGTTCCATACAAAGATCGCTTCAGGAGTCCGACCATGTTGGGTCCTGCGTTTGCTTCCGGAGGTAGCTCAACAAGAAGTCGCCGACGAACCGGGCTCCAACAATGAGCTTTCTTCACATCCAGAAACATGAGGCAGGTTTCGCCTCCTGACCCTACGGTCGACAGCTTTCCCTTGTCTTTGGGTACTCGCTTGGTTGTGGCGAGGGAGAACAGCGCACGCAGACTGCTTATAGTGGCGGCATAGCCGCGAAAAAGTCTGTCCAGGTACTCTGGTCCTCTGGGTCCTTTGGACCGCGCTGCCTTTTGAGTTCCTGCGCCACCAACCGTGAACGGAGTTTCGGGTGAACAGAATCTCCTCTCCCTTGTCGATGTCCACCCAGCGAGTCCCGATGACCTTTTCTCCAACAGGCCGTGGAATCACTTCCCATACGCCCATCTGTTGGATAACTGAGATCTCCTCCGTGCGCGCCGCCTTGACACGGAGGGTGAGATCGTCGTGGAAAGTCTCCGCAAGGAGTTCCTCCACCAGCCCGTCTTCCAGGTCACAGGTCGGTTGCTCGACGCCCTCAAGAGACTTGAGATGAGCCTCCCGCTCTTGAACGATGTGCTCAATCATCCCTTCGGCATCGCTGGTTTTGCGCTTCTGAGCCTCAGGTCGGGGTTCTGCCCTTCCTTCAACGGCTCTTCGCCTTTGCGCTTGCCCCGAGTGGCCGGAGCAGCTTCCGAAGCGGACGCTGCTGGCTTCTTGGACTCGGTCCTGGGCACGGGCTCAGCTTTTGAAGGTTTCCTCTTTGTGCTTTCCCGCGGTGGCCGGTTTGGCTGGCTCAGCTCTGAGCTCTGAGCAACAGGTTGCCTGCTAGGTTGGCTTCTCTCCGTGGTCGGTTCAGCTTCCAACGGCGTCGCTTCCTTGGCTGCCTTTCTCTTCTTCTCTTCAGCTTCCTGGACTTTGGTGAAGAACTCGGTCTCGCGCTGGCTTTCTCGCTCAAGCCTCAGCGCCTCCTGGATCCGAGAGGTCTCGTCTGTGGTTGATGCCGCTTGATGCCCTGGCGTTCTCTTCCCTCACGGATGGCTGCGCAAGCCTCACAGCCGCCAGTATACCCAAACCTTTCAAGGTCGGCTTGGCGTATATACATTCGTCGATAGACTGCCGTTCTATCTGCTGGCGCTAGGTCTTCAGGCCTGCTCAGCGGCTCCATCGGGATAGGATCTGGGAGCACATCGGCATTCGCAGCAGAAACCCCTTCTGGAGTAGGCTGCCAGGGCGTTCCAATCACAGCCATTAAGAGCTCTAGGCTGAACTGCTTATCCTCTGGCTTCCTCCTGATGGATTGCACCACCAAGATCCCAGAGGGAGTGCCGATGATCTTTTCAGAGCTGCTGAGGCGCAGCCCCAAGTAAACCCCTTCTTGCCATCTGGCATCCAACTTGCTCTTAGCTCGTCTGCGGTAGTCCACTACCTCTCCGAAGCTTGGCAGGGCAACCTGCCACGTTCGGCCTTTCAGTCGCTGAAACGGAGTTAGGCCTTCACTGTCCTCTTGAAAGAACAGCGTGTGAAGCACGGATCATCCAAGGAAGGACGACAGAATCTTTCGCAGTTCTCCTTGGACCTTCTGCTCCAAAGCATACATCATTATCATAGTTCGGACCTGGCCTTGGATGCGCGGCAAAGCGTTCTCGACCGCACCGTTCGACTGCCCGTGGTGATCTCTTTTGGGAGACCCCTCCAAGGAGATCTCGCCAGAGAACCCTGCCTTAACCGTTGCCGCTAGAGACTTGATGGGGTTCTCCTTCCGTCTTCAGGATAAGCCGCTTGCACCCGAGCTCGTAGCGTTGCCCTCTCAGGGTAAGCAGAGCCCACGCCCTTCGACGGAAGCAAGTGAGCGAAGATGGCCTTGGAGGCCCGATCTCGCAGCACTATAGTGGGCAGGTCGTTTCCCACACCTTTGTCGGCAAAGTAAATATAGTCGGCTGAGACGACTGGCACCGTCGATTCGCGAGCCTCGTGGTGATGAGACTATGGGCTCTTCCCCGTCCAGCTACGCAAGCTGGGCACCACGATCGGTATAAGGAATGTGGCTCACCTCGTGTTCGGCGATCATCTGTGGCGTGGGTGCACGGTGGCCGCAGAGGCCTGGCACGCTGCGCCTCGACCCTGCTGCAGGATCGACCTCAGTGGATAGGCAAGACCTCGGGCTCCGGGAAGAGGTTGAAGTACTCAGTGGTGCCTTCGGCACCTTCTTCTCCTCCTTCCTCTTTCTTTTCCTTTCCTTTCTTTCATTTACCACCCAAACCACCTAAACCAACCGGGGTCAGGGAACTACCTACCTCAAAGGCCTGTTCAGCCTCTTTTCCTCCTACCGCGCCAAAGTGGCTCTGTTCAGGGTGAAACGCTACTCTACGGCTAGCTACGCGGGTCCTCCTCGGCTTCCTTCCAAGTCTTGCAACGAAGGGCATCCCTCAGGGATGTTCAGGCTTTGGACTGCCCTTAAAAAAGCTGCCGATGAGGGAGCACCTTAAAGGTCGCCCTAGTCGGGCGCCCCTTCACGGGAAATTCCAGAATGCCACCGTCAGCCATGAAGAAGCTGGCCTTCTGCTTGGCAAGCACTAGCTGTTGCCCTTGCTCGTCGAAAGCAGGCACCGCTGCACATCGGCCACGTGGAAAAGGCATCGGCACCTGGTTTGCCTTCCTCCCAAAAGCAGCAGCTCCGCCTCGCCGTCGTTCAACAAGGTTTGCCTGTTCGGGCTCTCCACTGGCCTTAAGCTCGTCGCCGGGCATCACGTTGTGAGAGGCCCTACTGTCCAGCACCACCTCCATTTTTGGGGCACGCCGGGATGCAACCGCGAAACCGGTCCTATTCCCCGCAGGTAGGGAAAATACAGTGCCCACGCGACCCTCCAGGCCGCCAGCACCGTCCGGGGGGTAGAAGTGAAAGTTGAGAAACACCCCAAAAGGACTCGCAGGAACAAGACGCTTGCTCCCACTCGGGAGGCGTGACTGGATTTGGGGTGTAGTTTGGTATGGATCTGTGTACATACGTTTCACAATGCGGTTGTATTTGGCTCAAGTGCGCGGATGCTAAAGGATCGTTTCTCAATATGGAAATCAATATACAAATCAATCTTACAAATCAATATGCAAATCAATATGCTTGGTTTTTCACAAAATGATTTTCGGCGCTGCGCAAAATATCAATAACTAGATTGCACAACTAATTGATTGTAATCAATATGGGATGCTCAGGGAAGGGGGCAGGCTTTTTGTATCTACTTGTGGGTCTCACTTCACTTCTTCTGACAAAGCTCCTGGAACATACCCTGAGGCTGCACGTGCGCTTCCGGCTATTCCGGCGCAGTCATTTGGAACCAGGACCAACAAAGGTATGATGGCCTTTGCCAGGAGTGCGGCTTTGGGGCCCACTTAGGCTGTCCAATAGGGCAGTACAGGTGGAACTGTGGAGGACCCAACAAGGGCGAGTGCCGAAATTGCACAAATGCAGGGCCGGATCAGTACTTCGTTTCAGACGGCGGGACGCAGCCAAATGGCTGTCAGCTGCAACCGTGCGTTAAGTGCCCTACCGGCATGTATCCAGAAGGATGCGGTGCTCACCGTGGCCAGTGCAGGGACTGCCTCAACATGCCCAATGCCACGCCATCCACGCACTTCTTCTCTTCATCCGGAACCGTTGACGGCATCTGCGAGCTCAAGGAATGCGTGCCTGACTGCGGTGTTGGGCAATACAGGGCCTCATGTGCTGGTGTGAATCCTGGCTACTGTCGAGCTTGTTCTTCGCCGGCACCTGGATATTACTTTGATGGTTCAGGAGGCTTGGAAGATGCATGCCCTCAGCAACCATGTGGTTCATGCGACGTGGGCTTCTTCCGGAGTGGCTGTGACATGATGAACCCGGGTGCGTGCGTTCCCTGCACAAACGGGCCCCGTCACGGCTTTTTCTACAACTCCTCCAGCCTGGGGGCGAATCAGTGCGGGTACCGTCCCTGTGGAGAATGCCCCATCGGACAGTACCGTTCCAATTGTGGCGGTGACAGTGAGGGCATCTGTCAGGCCTGCAGCAAGTCACCGCGGACATACTTCGTGGGCAGTGGCGGTCTTGGCGACGCATGCCCTGTGAAAGCCTGCGCTGTAGATGACGAGGAGTGTAATGTTGGGAAGTACCGACAGGGCTGTGGCTCTTTAGACAACCCTGCCTCTCCGGGCGTTTGCCAGAATTGCACTGAGCACAAAGATAATTACTTCTTCGTGACCAACGGGGGAACCAGCAGCAGAGGTTGCGAAGAGCAGCCATGCCAGCGCTGCTCAGCTGGAAGGGGGAGGATAGGGTGTGCGGCCGCCTCACAAGGTACTTGCGAACCGTGTGACCATGAAGAGGGCTACTACTTCACGGGGGATGGAGGTTTTGGCCAGCACAACCTTACATGTCCGCGAAGGCACTGCGTCTTGTCTTCATCGCAGTGTATGCCTGGGTATTACCTGGCCGACTGTGCGGCCGATGTGGATCACATCAATCCTGGCACATGCATAGAATGTCCACCTGGCAAGTTCCAAGATGAGATGAACCAAGACCACTGTCAAGACGCTCCAGCAGGCACTTTTGCCACCCAAGCGGCTCAGACTTACACCGAGTGTTCTGACGGGGAGTTCCAAAGCCAACCGGGCAGGTCGCAGTGCCATCGCTGTCTTGGAGGTGCAACCGGGAGGCGACGTGCAGAGACATGCGTTCCTTGCGCTGCCGGTGAGTTTAGCGACGGCACGCGGGATGACTGCACAAAGTGCCAGGGCGGCTACGTTCAGAAGGTTGAAGGACATCGTGTCCTGTGCAGGGAATGCCCACAAGGGACGTATGATGACGATATTTATGACGATGATACAAGTGATTATGAGTGCAAACCCTGTCGTGGAGGTGAGGTCAGACGACGGGTTCCAGCGCGGGATTCAATCCATACCTTCGCAGAAGGGGCAACAGAGTGCAAGCAGTGCCCTCCCGGACAATGGACTCCTCCGGGCCTAAGCGATGAATGTCAGCTTTGCGTTGGGGAAGTACAAAGGGTACAGAGGGCACATGGCATGATGGCCGAACGGTGTGTGAACTGCCCTGCAGGTAAGCACAGTTCATATGGGAACAGTGACACCTGTGTTGACTGTGCTGCCAGAGGTGGCGAAGTTGAGTTTGACTCATCCTATCGTCGCATTGGCTGCAAGCCATGTCCGCCCGGTCACTGCCACCTGGATTTGTCTGGCTCGGATCTGGATACCTGCAAAGAGTGCAGGGGCTATGGGATAGAACGTTACGCCGATGGTTTCACCAAGAGTAAGACATCCTGTCTACTTGGCCGGTACAATGATGGGACACAGGATCTTTGCAAGCTCTGCGCTGGGGATATTGTTTTCGACGATTCAAGGCTCCGTGTAGCATGTGGGGCTGAGTGTGAGCCTGGAAGCTACAATGATGGAAACTTCGATCAGTGCCAAAAATGTGAGGGGGGCTTTGTTGCAGGGCGTTTAGGAACCGAAGGCGTGATGAGCTGCACCACATGCCCACCAGGAATGTACAATATAGGATCATCCGATGACTGCGACATTTGTGATGGTGGAGCTACCACAGTCAAAACAGCGTGCATCCCGTGTGGTCCAGGCAAATACAAGCCGCCGCTGGACCTGTATATTTCCGATGAATGTGTCACTTGCGGAGAGGGATATTCAAGTCGTCGTAGACGGGCCACACAGTGCAGCCCTTGCGAAGTTGGAAGATTCAGGAAGTGCCTAGGCCAACATTCAAAGTTCAGCTTTTGCTTTGTTTCGTGGCTTGGGCTCAGGCCTAATTAGGCTTCGTCAAACCTGAGGGTATACAGGGGTTTCTGCACCTTGAGACCAAGGAATGTCGATCCGATTCCTAGTTTCGCAACATGCCCGATCGGGCAAGGTCTACCGAACAAAGACGGTTGTTCAGATGGCTGTTGGCAGTGCTATCCGGGCTATGGACCTGATTCCTTGCAAGATTGCGTGGAATGTCTTCCAGGTAGATACCGAGACCCGACTATGGCAACATGTGAGACTTGTGAAGGGGGCCAGGTGGGCGATGGCGGTAATCAGTTTTCTCAGTATTACAGCACGCCTCGCGTCACATGTACGAAGTGTGACGTGGGAAAGTTTCGAGACCCAGACACGTTCGATGACTCTTGCCAGTCGTGTTACCAGTACAACGGTGTTGACCGCAACGGCAACACGAGGCGGCGCGAGTATGGTCGTGGTGCCATCAGCTGCACAGCATGCGAGTCTGGCTACAAACCTGCCTTTGGTCAGGATGACTGTGTGTTGGTGCTCTGCCCGTTTTCTACTGCTCACCCCTCATTTTTTGCCGAAATTGCTGCAGACGATCCTTGTTGTATAGCTGGGCACCCTTCTTGGCCAACGTTTGGATACGGCAGAATATGGTCCACCTTGTCTGCCGACGATGTTTTTTGGGAGGGTCGTCTTGG